ATAGTTAGCAGACCCAGCCTGTGCGCTGCGGGAGGCTGCAAGGCTTGCGTTGCTTCGCCGCAAGCCTAGAAAAATGGGTCGACGCACGCAAGCAAGGAGGTGTGAAAAGAGACGCAAGGGACACGCAAGGGACTCTTGCGTCTGATTGTGTCCCATGTTAGTCCACCCCTCAAATCTCACCTCGCCAGATTTTAGAGCAGCTTCTCGATTGCACAGAGACGTTTTATTTCCTAGAGAAAACCATTGTTAAACATTCAAATTATCTTAAGGAAGAGTATCCCCAGTTAGCGAAGCCGGTTGCATCAGTAGCTGAAGAGTGGTAACAACAAGAAGTGAACTCACTAACATAAGTGTCACACTTTGGAACCAACAGTGGTCAGGATCAGGAAGCTGCAGAGATGGAATGTGCTTTACAGATGTTATTGTACTGCTAGACAGTGCCATCAATAAATTGCCACAATTTTTCAAGATGGCCTCAAATGCCTGATTGGTGTTACAAGAAGACATTGTCAGCACTATATTTATTTCATCTACTTGTAAACAGGACAAATATAGAATGTGAATGATGCCATGACCACCATATTTCCCTGTTTGGATTGTGTGCTCAGGGTGATGAGCAGTGTTGGGTGTCCAACACGCAGCGTTTGGCATTCTGGCCAAAAAGTTCAGTTTTGGTCTCATTTGACCGGAGCATCTTCTTCCACATGTTTGCTGTGTCTCCCACATGGCTCGTGGAAAACTCCAAACAGGATTTCTTATATTTCAATAGCAGCTTTATTCTTGCCACTCTTCTATTAAGGCCAGATTTGTGGAGTACACAATTACTAGTTGTCCTATGGACAGACTGTCTACCTTCAGAGTTACCATGTGACTCCTGGTTGCTGCTTTATCAAGGACATCAAAGTGTACTCACTCTTTGGTGATGATAAGAGGAAATTAATATAATGTACAGCTAAAGAGGATACCAATATTGTATTTCAAGTAAGAGGTGTCTCTCTGTCACTGCCTGTCCAAACATTCATTCTACTAAATTACATTCCAGTGTCACTAAACTAAAATCGTATCTACATATTGAGGGACATGTTTATTCTCTCAGTTCTCAGTCACAGTTTTAAAACACCCTCCTCCCAAAACAGGCTTCAGCTAGTGTTATTTGGCAGGAAATACATTTTCTGTAACAGTATCATGCTGGTGTGTCCAACACGCTAGAGAGCAGGTAGTCTGTTGCAATAGTTCCCAACCCAATTCCAGCCTGACGGTGGGATCCGTCCACAGCTCCAGAGATCACTTTGAGGGTCACATGAAAGGTATCGTGGTAGAAATGAAGAAAAGAGGATGAATTGATTTCTTTATTGTTCTTGTCTAGTGAGAAAATGTAAGATATTCTAGAGTCAAAATGTCTGAATGCCATAAAGCCATACAAGTAATTTTCCTTATACCACAGCATTTGACCAACATTATTTCTTATCATCAGGGCCCTTTGACCTCTTGGACCTAACCGTTCGATTTTGGATGGTTGCAAAAAAAACATAAAAATCACTTAAAATAAACTGCATTAAATACATCTGTAATAACCTAGATAAATAAAATAAACAGTTTGATATCATTGAATCTATGGTTGGAATACATGTATTCTGCCACCAACTGGTGAAGATGTGAACATGTTTACTCTGCCTCTCATTGAACTGTCTGCATTCACTCAAGCAACACAATATGTGGAAAATAAATATCTGAGCCAGGAGCAATGAGTGTGTGACAATAAACCACTTTGATTGAACTATTATTTTTAGCTTACCTACATTATCAACTATATTGCATCAAACAGTGAACCGATTTGAATGCGTATTGCTGTGTACATAGATGAATGAAAATACATCTGCATCACTGTAAAAAAAATCAAGGGGGTTCAACTTACAAACAAAAGCTGCCTTACACTTTTGAGTAGAATCAAATTGGATTTACAATTTGGTACAACACATAATGTTGTGTTTTTACTTAGCTCTGGATTGATCTCTCTAAGTTCACATGA